TTCTAACCTAGAGGGAGGAGCCGGTTAACAATGTGAAAGTGGAAACAACTTGTCTGAAAAAAAAAACATATAAAAAGCCAACACTCCCAATTCTTTGGAAGCACAAAACAAAGTCACAAAATAAAGATAATGAACTCATGATAAAACCATAAGCTATCTGAAACCCCAAACAGAAACTTGAGGTTTCCTGACAATCACCTCAACTAAGTATAAGTTCTTTAGTGATGTGAGGGGAAAAAAAAAGTGTTGCACTTTGCCTTTTTTTTTTTTTGTCCAATTCCAAATCAAATTACTGGAGGTCACTTAAAAGTGGACAGTAGAAACATTAACAAAACCAGAAAGGTCAATGGGCTAAGGGAAAAAACACTAGCAGGCAACACAGAAGGTAACACCCATACCCTTCTTCAGAATGTATAGAGTGAAAGGAAAAGCAGTTAAAGGAGGAGCATCTTGTCCCACTATTCAATAGACAGGAAAATCCCTAACAGATAATACCAAAGCACTTGAGGTGCTTTCTGTATCATTCTTCACACAAAAAAGGAGCTAATTTAAGTCAGTTATATCACAATGAAAGGAGTAAAAGCACAAACTGGAATCGGGAGACACATTAAAGCAACTGTTCCAAACCCTCCGAGCCAACAGACTAAAGTCAAGTCTCAAAATTTCCCATGTGTTTGATTTATCATCAAACTTCAAACAGAGAGAGTGATAAGGGCAATGTGCTTCTTCAGACAATTTATCAGCTACACCCACAAACTACATTCAGGTGTTGCTGGATTAAAAGCCTACCTAAATATTTTAAAAACTAATAGACAAAACAATATTTACCCTGTGAAAAGTGAAAAAAGGCAGGTATTGCCGTCTAAAGAGGTAAAGATGATCTCTTCTCATTACAGTAGCATCTAGAGCATGAAAAAAGGCAAAAGCATCTGCCCCTAAAAAGCAAGAAAATGAATAACCAAGGACTCACGAACAAGTTAGCGCTACCTCCAGTACCTGGGAAGATAGTGGAATAAATAGTCTAACAACCTATCTCCTATGTACCCCAGATAATGAAGCAGGTATCAACCAATATGTGATTTGTTAAGAACAAATTGCATTAAAGTAATATAATTTCCTCCAGTGATGGAGTAACAACATAGGTAGGGAAGCAGCAATTAAATAGCTTAGGTTTTACAGGGTTCCTGATAAAACAGGAATCAAGCATATCCACAGACCTAATTTTTACTATCCTTCACTATTATAAAATGTAACTTGGAAAATAAGTTATTTAGCGAGGAACTTACAGCAAGGAACACCATATTTTGCTTTGCTTCAGATACACCACTCAGATTTCTTAGGGCCATGAACAACATGTTTGAAGCTCTCCCAGACAACATCTTGCCCACAAGTGACACATTCAAACCATCAGGAGAGATAGGATTTTTAATTACACAGAGAGTATAAAGCTGGGAGAACTGCAAGTACTTTGGTAGTCTTGGAATCCAAAGTCATTTTAAGAGAGTGGAATAATCATCTGAATAGAGACTGATAGAGTAAATAGGCAGGAACAGTCAGCTATGTAACACAACAGGAAGGGCAAGGTTAAACATCACATCTGCACAGAGATATGCTGAGTGGTAAAGGGCTAAAGAATCTGGGGTTGCAGCTGAACACGAGCCAACACATATCTCTACAACAGAAAAGCAAATCCATAAAGACTTGACCATCCTACTGAGCCATACAGGCTGCAGGTATCATAGGCAAGGCAC